TATAAGCCCCCTAAATTATACTATTCTTGCCTATTCTTTAAAGTAAGTCACTTTCTACCTGAAGCTTTACTAGGCTTGTTTTAATTACTCTGTGTGCTTAGAACATAATAAAACCATTTCTTGAAAATTGCACAGAAAACTTGCATGAATTCAGTTGGCTCTCTTCCCTACTCCCTCTAATTAATATGACAAGAGAGATAACTTTTAAAATTATTATATTTAAATAATTACTGGGAAATACTTACCAGATAAATATGTTAAAAGGCTATCTGGGAGCTGATGTCTCCGTGTATAAATGATTTTTCTTTTCTTAAGGAAGCCATGCATGGACTACTGTTTCCCTTTTAACTGAAATTCTTTTGCCTAGACTAGAGGAACTTAAGAGACTAAAACGGAAAGTCAGGAATTAGGTCTGCCTCTCAGTATTTGTTCTTGTCAGTTGTAGTGGCCAACCCATCACAGTTTAAGGGGAGATGGTGGCTTTTGGCTCAGAAAGCCAACTCTTAGGGGCCAGCCCAGTGGCGCAGCGGTTAAGTTCGCACGTTTGGCTTCAGCGGCCCGGGGTTTGCCGGTTCGGATCCCAGGTGTGGACCTATGTACCACTTGTCAAGCCATGCTGTGGTAGGCATCCCACATAAAACAGAGGATTGATGGGCACGGATGTTAGCTCAGGGCCAGTATTCCTCAGCAAAAAGAGGAGGATTGGCAGTAGTTAGCTCAGGGCTAATCTTCCTCAAAAAAAAAAAAAAAAAAAAAAGGACAAGAGAAAGCCAACTCTGAATTTTCAGTACTCCATAACAAAGACATGCCAGTCCTTTTTGTGCCTCATCGGTGAGTTGGGTAGGGCAACCATAACTCCCAAGAAGTTGAGCAAGTGCGTTTTCACTCCTTAGAAAGTTTGTGTGGCAAGGAATCCACAGCTCACATCTTATCAGGTTATGGTAGGGGTTTGACCTAGCGTTTCATTGTCACAATACCCCATTTGCTAGCTTTGTAGCGTATGTAATCTATAGCACATGCACTCACATGATTCCTTGCCACATTTTTATCCCCTTTGAAGTGCCAGGAGCCCAGCATGTTGCCTATGGAAGATTCGTTGAGATTTAACACATATTTTCATATGACATAGCTGCCAAAATGAGAAAAATTGCTTAAACCAGCAAAGTAAAAAATACCACCTGATGTTTTACACAGTATGGATCCAAATATCAACTTTTTCATGGGTAGTTGAATTTAAATGCTAAACTATTTAATTATAATACTAAAAATAATTTAACTACATGACAAACTTAGAAAATGGGAAAATGGTCCATGATGCCATCACCTAAATACAACAATCATTTTCTTCTAGTCTTTTTTTCTAATACCTATTTTTTACATAGCTGTATCATGGTATGATACACGTTTTCTTTCTTTTTTTCTGATTAACGTTCTCAAGGACTTTTCCATATTGCTTCATAGCTATCATTTTTAATGTCTTCTCATACCCAGTAGAGCAGCTGTACCGTTATTTAACCATGCCATGTTGTAAGAGATCTAGATTGTTTCCAATTCATTTTGTCTTTATTATAAAAACCACTGCAGGTAGTAACCCTTCAAGTTGTTTGACTTTTTGTTGCCAGTATAAACCAAAGGTACCAGGCACTGTTTAAAGTCTCTGGAGCACATCTATTTCCATTTCACTACAGTGACATCATAGTGGCCTTAAAGTGAGCAGTAATTGGTTTTTGAATAATATTTTCTAGACTGTGACATCTCTCCTAGAATTTAAGTTAAAGTTTAGAAAAGTCTTCAGAGCAGAAAACCACAGTACTTTCTCTCTTGGTATTCATACAGCCTCATTTACTTACGCCTACAATGTATGCTAGTGATAGAATTGAAGTAGAAATTGATTTTGAGAATCTGGCCCCTTTGAAATTGTTCAGAGAGAAGCAGCTTGAGAAGACCTCGGTCTATGGCCTGTAGTAGACTCTCATCCAGCATGCTAATGGAGAACTTTCACAACTGTTTGCCTGTCTACAGAGACTGTATGAAGGCTTCAGTACCATGTCTTGATAGGGATTGACAGTTTAATGTCTAAGGTCTGGCTAGGAGGGCGCCTGTCAGCCTAGTTAACTTAACTCTTGGGAGTAGTCCCCACATCACCCAGGGAAACACAATGGGATTGTAACTGGGTGTAACAGATTTAATAGAATCTGTTATAACAATGGCTTGGCTTTATCTTTAGAGAAGGGGCTAGTGAGCTGCAGGTGGCTAATGTCCTCTTCTAGATGGAACTCATCTAATAAAAATGCAGGGTGTCCAGGATAGAAGGGAGATGAACCCCAGAAGTTTTTTACACTGGTGGATGCAGTATTTCATATTATAGCAGGGCCGTTTTGTTACTGGAGAGAAAGAGGAATGAGTGAACGATTTTATTTTTTTAAATACTTTATAAGGACTCCTTAGCTCAAGCTCACAAAGGAAGCTTTAGAATTCCAGAGCAGTTTGAGAGTTTGAAAAAAAGAAAGGTAATAAAAGTTCCCCTCTCCATGCAAGAGGAAAGAATAGTAGCTTCTGAAACCAGAATTCTCACCTCTGCAACCTTGTCACATTTCATCATGCGTTCAGCATTGAAGGAAGAAGATGGACTCTTTGGTCCTATGAGGAAGCTAATGCCGCACTGGGTTACACTGTTTGCTTTTCAGCTCTGAGTGAGTGAGATGAGTTGGGTGGTCTCAGCCTCGGTGTTCATTCATTCACACTGCTGAGCAACTGCACAATTGATAATCACTCTAAAGGGGGGCAGCAGGCAGATTGAGGGCATTTACAAGGTAGTGTCATGGTCCTGTAAAAGCAAGTGTTGTTTCAGGGCAGGCAGACTAACAAAAAGACGGGGGTGGGCGTTTGGAATAGAATCTGTATCTCGGTTTGCCTCTAGTGGAAGGAGGAACAGGTAACAGCTCTTTCCTAACTCTAAGCCCTGAGCCTAATCTAATGCCTACAGGTTGGAGGTGGAAATGGGGAAGGTGAAGGGATGGCTAAACAGGTCAGCATCTGCAGTATCACCTAATGCCTCCTCTCACCCCATCTGTAGAATACATTTGCAGAGTTAATATATAGAAGATAAACAGTAAGCAAAAATGAAAAATGACGGAGAATAAAGAACCTTCTGGAGGCAGGGGAAACTTAAATCCCTGAAACAGTAATTAAAGACTGCTATTATGGGAGTGTTCAGGCAGGGGCCCATCACACTGTGAGGCCTAAAACCTGTGACACAAGGTTCCGCAAAATCAGGTCTGCAGGGGGCCAGGAGATGGGAAGTGGGCCATGGGGGAACTGGTCTAGAATGTTACAGCACCTAGTTAATCAGCAGCCAGTCCATCACATTAAATATCCAGCCGTCATGTATTACCTTTCAAGTGAAAATGAATAACTCCCATTAAGAGCAAAATGGGTTTGAAGTCGATCCGAGACAGATTAAAGTACTGTTATGAATGTGTGTGTTGGCAGGAGGAGGGGTTTATGTGTAATATGCTTGTCCTTGTACTTTTTAATAATAGATGTCCTACAAACTTATGTAGACCAGGTTACCAAGATACTGGAGTTAAAGGTCACAAGACGTGCATTCTGGGAAGAGCATCAACTTCCTGGAATATTTCCTGTATTTAGCAATCTTTTTTTCAAAATAATTTTGTGGCCTTATGATTTTAATGAATAAAATTGATTCTCTAAAATTGTTTATTAAAGCACACGTCTATAATGACAGCCTCTTGGTATCCACGTCAGAGCAAATGTCAAAGCTGAGCATAAAATGGAAACACATGCTAGGTAACCAGACTGGGTGAGACAGAAAGCAGTGTGACCAAGGAGTAGAAATTAGGCTTTCTAAACCAGTGACCTCAATGCTGAGTCACATTATTTGTCAATGAGGACAGTTAGGTATATATTTTCTCACTACCATATTCAGGGTTTATTTTATTGCTTTTAGCAAAATTCTGAAAAATGCAATTCCACGTCCAAAACAAGAGGGCCAACCCTCAGGTACTAACCAGGTTTTGGAATGACCAAACCCAACCATATTGGGGTTTGTGTTTACACTGGAGGAGCCCTACTTATCCTGTTAATCCCTTAGCCCAGGTGTTTTCTCATCAAAATCTTCCAGATCCCTTTCCATGCTTCAGAGAACTCCTTCTACCAACACTTCCATACCCACTGTTTGCTACTTGAGTCTCATGTGACTCTCCTCATTAGTGTTTTGTTTTTTTGGTGGAATGGTGAAGTGGGGATATGGAGGGCGTGGTTTGGGCAAGCAGATAGGAAACTTTCCCTCTTACCACTCACTCTGAGTAAACTCTTGCATCTGGAGCATTGGTTAGATTATAACTTGGGTTTATGCCCTAAAACTTCCACTCTTCAGTTACTTCTTCCCCAAAAGCAAATTGCTGCAGCCAAACTTGATTTTTCCCCCCACGTATTTGTATGCAGGTATCTGCAAGAACTTCTCTCAGGTCTCATTTCTCATGTCCCCTGTGTTGTGCCATGCTGTGATTCCAAGAGCTGGAACAGTAAAGCTGGGAGCACATGGTTTGTTACATCTATGAAGGCAGAGTATGTCTGGTCCTAAGGTTGACTATTGGTTGGTGAAGCAATTGGTGAAACCTTCCCACCCACCCTCAGCCCTACTGCTCCCCCATAAGCCAGCAGACTGTGTCTTGACTGGGGGAGGTCAGAATAGACTGAATTTAGCATAATCCAACTCAGAGCCTTTTAGTCCGTTTCTTTATCTTCTTTTCTTAGTGTTCAGTTGTTAAAGTAGTGACAGAAATTCATGGGGGAAAGAAACACTTGCTTCTTTTCCAACATGCTTGATAAGTCAGTCCGGAAGCTCATCCTTCTTGAATTTTGGAGTTTTAAGAAAATCCTGCGCTATAAATGACTGTTGATTTTCACCCAACACAAATCCTCTGGGAGCTGGCCTGGTCTGGCTGCTATATTGCATCTTCTGCTTTTTCTTCCAGCATCGTCCAGCCAAGCAGAGAAGGAGCTGACAGATTCTCCTGCAACCTCCAAACGCATCTCCTTCCCAGGTAGCTCAGAGTCTCCTCTCTCTTCAAAGCGACCAAAAACATCTGAGGAGACCAAGCCGGAGCAGGTGAGGCCGGAAAGGGCTCTGCTGATGGTGGGGGAGTGTTTAAGACAGCGGTTGGGGAACGAAGTCTTGGGTGGGTGGGCTTGGGGCAGACACAGTTGCTGGTGGGAACTGAAGATTCAGCCAGAGGGGTGGGTGTGTTCCCCACAGATGTACCAGTGTCCCTACTGCAAGTACAGCAACGCCGACGTCAACCGGCTCCGGGTGCATGCCATGACGCAGCACTCAGTGCAGCCCATGCTTCGCTGCCCCCTGTGCCAGGACATGCTCAACAACAAGATCCACCTCCAGCTGCACCTCACCCACCTCCACAGCGTGGCACCAGACTGCGTGGAGAAGCTCATTATGACGGTAAGGCAGCCAGGAGCAGGACCCTGCGGCTCTTCTTCCCCCAGGGGTCAAAGGTGATGCAGTAACATGAACAAGACACTGTGTTGTGGTCAAGAAAGCCAGTGTAGAGTTGGAAATGTCAAAAATGGTCCTAGTTCTGTGACCTTTGTTCTACTATACCTGCCTTAGACTTGGCATGACCATGGTCTGATTGTGGCCCAAGGGGCTAAATACTTATGTTTGTCAACCTTCCCTTATCATTTCCTCCCCTCTCTCCCTGAGGGATGCAGAGGCCTAGATTAGCCAACCATTTATATGAAGAAATTATTATCCAGATTCTCCAAACCTTTATTGAACAAGTCATGTTGTAGGTTGCTCTTATATTCATTATGTCACATTTTATCCTCACAGCAACCCTATCTAAAAAAAAGAAATTTGAAATATTTACACTAACAATTGAGGAAACCAAGGCTCAAAGAAGTTAACTGACTTGATGCCACTTGTAAGTGGCAGAGTTGAGATTTGAACCCACATTTTCCAATTCTAGAAGTGTAGCCCTGTAACTGGGGAGTTTCTCAAGTGGACACTTACTCTTGAAACAGGAAAATGGTCAGTTGGATAACACGTTGATTCATGACTGAGGGCTTTGCATTTTAAACATGATGTTGCTCCACCTGCAGGTTTTGAAAGCATGGTTCTAAGTGGCCTCTGTAAACATGGCCAAGAAGGTTAGTATAAAGATTTAAATCTAATTATAACTTGAAAACTTTTCAAAATACTACAGGTGATCCTGATGTCCTACTTTCTGTCTGGTGGGGTTGTTGTGGAAGCCCTTCCTGATCACTAGAGGAACAACCACCAAAGAGAATTACTCTCCCCTCTAACTTATGTCAACAGCGGAGTAATAAGAAGTTAATTTGATTGCCTTTTCGTGTGAAGATTCCCAGAGAGGTAGTCTGTTTGGAATTCCACGTTATAACATGCAGGTCACAGACATATAACCTCTGGGTATTTCCCCTTCCATTTGGTTCTGCAAAATTAAAGAATAATATTCTAAGTGCTGTTTAGTCATGAGGAAAGTATACTTGATGATGCATCAGGAGAACTTTAGCAGCCAATGGGAAGCTCAGAGGTGAGCTAACATGAGTTTCACTTCAGAGATCTTTTAAGTAGAAACTCACTTTCCATGGTATTTTCAAGTAGATTGGTGAACATTGTTGAAAGATTCTCTGTCAGTAGAAAATTCCTTCTCTGGATGGGTGGGTTTCTATGTTACAGTTTTTCTTGGCATTTTCACCAGCCTTGGAAATAACGAGGGGGATTTTCTCAGGCCTCCTCATACTTCCTATCACATCACTGATGGCCTGGAACCATGGGAGCCTGAAGGGAGGGAAGCATTTTCAATACTTAACTACATTTTTCTCTTGCTCATGTGATTATTTTTCCTATTTAATATAAATCTGGTCTAGGAAGTGTGAGGCTATAGTAGTGTGTACGACAGTACATTTCATTTATACATCCCTAGAGACTAGAGTGTAAATTATATTTCTGATATTCATTGTTTGTCATATTTTTATAATGGCAATAGTGAAGTACATTTCAAGTAGCAAGCCTGGTGGTCGTTATGCATCTTCTTCATTTTGCCAACAGTCTTCCAGGGCAGGATGTTACTGTTGTGTTTGCTTGGCTCCCAATCCCTAAGATATTTCTGGGTGTTACTGACCAGCTAGCACCTTCTCAAGCAGTGATTCTCAACCTCTTTGGAGACTCTGATAAAAACAATTCAGTAGCCCTACTGGGTTCTTCTGTGCACACTAAAGTCTGACAACCACTGTTAAGACCTCCATCCAGTATTCTGCATATATAAAATTGTGTGTACAATGCCAAGGAGCATAAGGATACCCTAAAATTCATCCATAGAACCAGGTTCATAGACCCTGTTCTGGAAGAATCTCTGACAACATAATTATGTAGGAGAAACATGCTCCCTAGAGGGACTGTGCTTGGCACCTTGTCCAGAAACCCCTGTGCACCTCATCTTTCCACAGCAGACAATGGAGATATTTTCTAGACATTTCTGAAAAACATGCAAATTGTGGGAAATGTGCTGATTATAGGAAGTCGATTTGCTAGTCATAAGAGAAAGTTAATGGATTCAGAAATAAAGTTGAAAGTTGTGGGAAATGTAATCATTTGCATTGAGCTAAATGAAGCATTTCCACCTTGATCCTTTTGGACTAAAGAAAAAGATGAGCAACCAACATTCGAGGGGCATTTGTGGCCATACTTCAGCGTGAACCCACAATCCTGCTGGAGGACTGGACTGCTGATCTTGGTCTCTCCCCTGATGAATCAGAACAGAGGCTGCTGTCCCTCCTCTGAAAAGTTTGGTATTAAAACAGAATTTGCAATCGTTATACCACCAAGTGATTATAATGAACCTGTGCTTAAAATCTTGCCCCTGTAGGGTATTTTAATGTAATTTTATTAGAAAATTGGCCATGGGAAAGTATTGGTTAGGTTTTCTGGCTGTATATCTGTTTGTTCCTGGCTAACTGGAGAAGGAAACTCTGAAAACAGCATAATGAGAAATGCCCCTCAAATCAGAGCTCCATTTTCTAAACCATATCATTAAGGAATGGCCAGTGTACGGTCATTCATCCTCCAAGAGGAGAAAGTTAGGTCTGCTTTGTCCCTGAGTGGCTAGAATGAATGGCACTGAGAGGAGTGAATCTTCTTCCTTGCAAATGACTCGACTGATTTAGCTGCCTTTGGTTGCAGAATAGGAAAAGCTGGCAAAATCCACCAAATAGACAATCCTGACAGACATGGGGTGTGTCCAGGCTATCTAAAGCTATAAATTCTAGTAAATATTTTTTGCTATCTGGATCCAAGTTCTCAGGATCTGGCTTGAATTGGGTTTCAGTCCCTCTAAAAGTAAATTCCACTCTGATAAATGGAAATAGATTACTTTCTACACAATGTCTTTCCGTTCAGTTGTAAATGGAGAGTGTTTTGAGGAGGCTTCATTTAATAATACCTTATCAGACAGCTTTCAGGAACCTGCAGTGTCTAATATGTCTGTTGCTATGGTAACAGCTGCTTGCTTATGCTCTGCATCTCATATCTGTGTCTTCCATGGGCCCCCTTCTTTTTACTGATGAAGGGGCTTGAAAAATACTCTCCACTGGGAACAATTGTAGCTCTGGCCCTCCACCATGGAAACTGCACCCACAGCACTTCATTCTGCTTGGCCTATTAGAAACAGCTCCAAAGGGTGTCTTTATACACGTCATATGAAAAAAGGAAATCTATAAAGCTTAAGGGCGATGAGACAAGTGCCCCTTCAGACCTGACTGAGCAGCCCGCCCCCCACGTCAGTTCCACAGAACTCTCACCTATTTGCAGAGAAGTTAGAGAATTCAAATTGGTGCTGGGGATGTAGGAGCTGCTGCTCAGTGACCTCATTTTCCCACTCTTTTGGGGAAGGAGGGTTGAGGGTGTGGGGGACAGGTTTCTGGTCCCTAGATGAGAATGGGAAAGACCACTTACCATGCATTTCAATAATCTTAAATTATTGTAATTGATCACTGTCCTTCTAAGTGACAGGACACAAACACTGGGATCCTGTAGCATTAATTTGGGGGAAATTGTTCCTCGATCACTTAAGAAAATATGGCCTTACAGTGGAAATGAGGATTGGCCCCTGAGCACCCAGGAACACCTTTTTCTCTAGCCCTTGTCTTCTCTCCCTTTCATAGTTCTTAATGATTCTGTAATTTTTTGTACCTGCACAGATTTCCCTTCTCTGCTCCTGGCCCTGCACTGCCTGCAGTTCTTTCTCTCTCTCTTTCCCATAGGAGCAATAGTTGGTCTCCTGTGATTTTTTTTGGTCAGTGTCTGTGTCTCTCCAGGCTTGCTGTGTGCCTGTTCTTCTGAGTTTCTGGGATAGCCAGCTAACCGTCTGGCTCCCCACACTCAGGCTCTCAGGTGGCCACTGGCCCTGGGGCTGTTGTACCCACCCAAGTACCAGCTCTCACTTTGTCTCCATCTCAGAGGAAGGTAATGAAAATAATCGGGCTTCATTAATTCCAAGCCCTGTGAGATGATAGCCATTTGGAGCCTGTTTGCCAATTAGATGGTCTAAATTAGAAGTGACCTTGGTATACTGCCACTGCTTGCCTCTCTGAGTCTAATGAAGCTTTTTCTCTCCGATTCATTCTCCTTCTCAGCTCTTTTCTCCCTCTCACTCTGTGTATGTGTGTGTGTGAGAGAGAGAGAGAGAGAAAATTGTTCATGTGTTTCCTGTCCTCCCACCCACCTCCTTTTTCAGTCTTTCTCATTCTTAGTTTTTAAAATCTGGTTCAGGGCTATGTTTGTTTCTGGCCCACATGAATGTTAACGTGGCCCTGCAATTTTTCCTCATGGGTTTTATGTTTGTTTGTTTGTTTGTTTAAATGGATAGACAACCACATAGAAGACATTTTCGAAAGGAACAAGAGAGAGAGAAACCAGGTCCTCTAAACTCCATGTTACAGTACCCAGTCTGGCACATTCGGAAGGTAATAAAGGAAGGAAAAAGGCCTCTGCTGCCAAGAAGTGCCCAGGTTTGCTGGCTGCAGAAGGGCAGAGTCCAGCTAGTGGGCTTCAGCAGCTGTCTAGGTACAGGAGAGGAAGTGAGCAACAGGGCTGTCACTGGAGAGGTCGGCTTTAGATCCACCACTAGCTAGAATGCTCAGCTCTGTGAGCACTTGGGTTTTAACTTCATGCATAAATGTTTTGAACAGAACCAACACGTCATTCACAAGGATGTAGAGACGGGCTAGGTCTGTGCTAGGAAGGCCTGTGTCTGAGGCATTCCTTCTTTTTTTCCCTCTGAGGTTCTTCATTCTGTTGGTTTTCACTGAAAAGTGAAGGATCTGAGGCTTCCTTGGAAGTCTAGTTTTTGGAAAATGTATACTTTCACTTGGAATACTGAGCCTTTCAGAAAGAAGGCGAGCAATGCCAAGGCTGTAGGGATGAGGGTCTCAGAGAAACAAGGTTCAGTACTTTTTCTAAGACAATATCTTTGCTTTCCAGCATGTGAAACTTGTTGGTTACATTGATCTAACCTCAGACAAGGTGGCCTTGAGAGGGGAATTTGCATGAACAGTCCCATAAGAACTTAGCTTGGCTGCTCAGTGTTGTGTTGTATTTGGCCATTTCACATCCGTAACCTGGAGAAAGTAAGGATGGGGGAGAGGACTCCTTGTAATTCCAACTTCTTCTATCAAAAAATATACCTTGGGCCCCCCACCCCACCCTTCCACCCCCCAGTCATAGTGGGAACCAGACCCACACTTAGCCCCTGGGTTTTGTAAGGTGTGTCCTTGGGGCTTCAGGGTCCACTCACCTCATAGAAACTTAAATCATGATCCAAAATAATGGTGAATTGAACAGGAAGTAGGAACTAGGTATTTATGAACCTATTACCTCGCCTAGTAGTTCAAGAGCAATTAACTTGAGTCTATGGATTTCCCTCTAGGGAGTCTGTGATTTCCCGAAATTATCTGTAGTAGTCTGTGTGTGAAGAAGTCTTGTTTTTCTAGGAGTCTGCAACTTTCATCAGATTTTCTAAAGAGTTTGTGATCTCTAAAAGGTTAATTCTGGATTGTGAGCTTGGGCACAAGGACTTCGTCTAGCTTCATCTCACAAGCATGCAGCACAGGGACCCTGTACAATGTTTAGTGAGTGATGGTCAAATGAATGGATGGACAGAGTATCACTTGATCCTTCCTTTTAAACAACTAAGTTGCTTTGGAATTGCTTAAACTTGAAGATTTTCAGCATCAGAGCAGAACTTCACATTTCTCTTGTTATACATGAGACATATTTACTTGTTAGGAAGATACTTAGAACCACTGTTTGTTTTCAGACTTTCAGCACCCCAGCTCAGATGATGTTTTCTTCCTGCATTCCCATCAACTCTGCATACTTTGGGAGGAACACATGTGGTATCTAGAAGATCATCATGGAACTGCCCTTTGCATGGCTAAGGCCAATCTTGAGAGACCCAAATTCTGAGGAAGTAATGGCTCTAATCATTGAGTTTTCTTACTACAAAAACTTTGTTTTACTTTTGGTTAAAAGTACAATAGTCTGAGGTCTGCTCTATACATTAATGAGTAGAGTATGGGGAGCATAATTTAACATACTCAATGTTTATGGGTGTACATGTAGATTATTAGAAGAATCAATCTACATGGACAGTATAGTCAATGTAGAAAGTGTAGGTGTTTGGACTGATTGTGTACCATCATCTGGCCAAATCTCAAACTTCCTGTTTGGCTTCTGAGTCTGTGGATGGGGTAGGAGAGTAGGCAGAGGGAGGGAGGGCAGGGAGAGAAAGAGTGTGTGTGCGTGTGTGCACACGTCTTGTCTGTGAAGGGGAGCTGGTAGCGGGGTCCAGTTGTTTGAGGGGCTCTGAGGTTTGGGCACGTTTGGGATGGCTCTGGTTATACTGTAGCCAGGTTTTGTCCTCTCATACACCTACATGCTCCAGTGCTCCTAGCAAAAGGTAAGGTCTTTACAGAACTGTGCTCAGCACGGTTGAGTGACTGCCTTTCCCACTGACTTTCAGCTGGCCATCAGAGACTGTGGCTGGGATAGTCTGAACCTTCCACACAGTTTGGTAGCCAGATATGATTGGAAAAGAAGGGGGGTGCCAAGGTAAGTGTTGAAGGAACTCCACCTTCGGCTAACTCTCCTTTTCTTCAGGGAGCAGAACTCCTCAGTGAGCTGTTGGCAGGACTATATTTTTGGCTCTTTACGAAAAGCATGCGAACTTTGAGTGAAAAACTTTGGAAGCTGGTAGGTGACGGAGGAATGGACATAGGCACGGGAACATTATTGTCTGAGAGCTGACATGGCTGCCCTCAAGTAGGCTGTGCAGCAAGGCTTCCATTCTCAACCTCTCTGTTCAGACACATGTGCAGATAGACCCTACCAGAATTTCTAGATCCTTAGGATTCCCTTTAGAGATGTTCCTCTTTGCCTCCTGGGAATTTCTTGCCCATTAAAATTTAATATAACCTTTTTTTTTTTTTTTTCTTCCCCGGGGGAGGTTGGGTATACTATAGATAAGAAGATGCAGGTAGATAAAAGTAATTACTTAAACACATATGGGGCAAGACTTACAGGTTTGGAGGCCCAGATTAAGATGCAAAGGAGCATGTGAGGTTGATGATTATATTTCGGGGAGAGTTAATTGATGGAAGGTGAAGGCAGACAAAGAACCGCTGCTTACTGCCTTCTTGAATCCCAATCAGGAATTATGATTAAAGTCGCGGCGAGACAACAGAGGGCTGATGAATTGGTGTCTTTTTTTTTTCTTTTTTGCCGTCATTCACACTTGATTGACTTCAACCTTTCAAGTGCAAAAGTCTCTCTTTTCCATTATTATTCATAGCCATCTGAGTTTTTCTAATTAAAGTGTATGAAAACAATTACTGATCCGTCGTACTGAGTCTGTTAGAGGGGATGTCTGCCTTACTGTAATGCGCACAAAAAGCCCACAGTTTTCTATAATGATGTGCAGCTGAGGTGTTAGATAATTTTATTCTTTTTTACTCTGTAGGGCTTTTTTTTTTATTTCTCATGATTCATTTTTCATAATTCCTAAAGATCCCAGGAAAGGACTGATCCTGCAGCTACAACCGAGAAAGGAGGTGGGGGGGAGTCTTTTTTCCTTTCCCTTTCTCCCCATCTTGCCCCCAACCTCGTGCTCCCCCTTGGCTGAGGACTATAAATTAATCGGTGACCTTTCACTTCTTGGATTCCCGCTGGACTCCCTAACCACACTGGTCAGAAATGCTTTCTATTAAAAAGAAAATAGATGGAATGAGTTTGGCAATCTCTGCTCCATTCCTAACGATTCATCAACAGCTAGCCTTAACCAGCTGCCGACGAGCTTTGTGTGAGGTGCAGATGTCTGTGAGAGCAGGAATTCTGTGTCACACAACATTCACCTGCCATGCACCTGCTCTTTGTAAACACAGAACCCTTCTTCATAGTGCCTATTGCTTAATTTTTGCACCTGTTGGCATCTGGGTTGCTGAAATTGTCCTAATACCCGTAAATGTGTTGGGGAGTTACCTTTTTGGTATTTATGGGGACGGTTGTCTGGGTTTCCTTTAGGAGTTGACCCTATCACTGATGATTCTAGTGAACATGTCAGCAGCTATTTTCAGCAGGCCAGGATTTTCAAACAATTAAAAGTCAATAGAAATTTATTTAAAATATTTAATTTTGAATAGTAACCTAGGTGTTCCAATCTTCGCAACAGCAAGTGAAGATATTATTGTGATATTTGTGTTTGATGGGAAAATAATGCCACCAAGTGGGACTGGGCACCATGTAGAAAGGTTAGTGGTGATGGTAGTTTCTGTTCCTATAACCTCTAGGTCAGTTCGTTTCTCAGGCTGTCATCAAACAGAAGATGATTTCTGATTTCATTTGGGAGTGTCATCACCAACTACCTTTCCACCTTATAGCAGGCAAAGGGATGCTGCTTGTTTTTAAACGAAAAACCATTATCCTTACGTTGGAATGTTGAGGACTGCTTATCACATTAACATAAGGCAAAGGGTAACTTGTTTGGACAAGATTCTGGCCAGATGGCTTAGAGAAATGTCTTGAGGATCTGACCTAAAGTTCTAGCTCTTTTGATCCAGGCTAATTCTGGAATTGCTCTATTAGGAAACAATAGCCCCGGTCAAGGTGGGGCTGCCCTGTTGTGGAAGGCTGTGCAGGGCACCCTCTGTGGCTGGGACACTAGCCAAATTCCCTCAGATGCTGTGTACCTCGGGCAGAGACTCCAGAAGAAATCCTGGTTTAAGTGAGTCATAAGAAATGCTCGTTTGCACTTGATCTCAGCTTGTAAAGGGTTACAAAATGATGTTTCCTGGAAAGTCTGCCAACGTGTCTGCATGTCCTTAGCCTTCCCTTTGTTCTCCTCTCTTACCCTTTCCTTCGCTCTTATTCCCTCCTCTTCGTGCCTGAATACATTTTGAAAACAGTACTACAATGCTCCCTGCTTCAAGATTACAGTGTACTTTACTAGATATGATTTAATTAGGGCCCTTATTATGTTTTCAGCAGCTTAAGGTGGGCCTTTCAACTTATCTACCTAATTGGTTGCACAAGAAGTTTCACAGCCCATGACAAAACATTGTCAGTGATCAAAGTCAAAATTCTGCATAAAGGAAAAATATTAATAATAAGATTATTCTTCAAGTGTGCACTGCTAATTATGTCCAGAATGTAACCGTAGAAACACTTTTGACTGATGTGAGCTTTGTCTAATAAACATGAATCTTCAGTGAGCTATGAAAAGTGACACCTCCAGCTTTACACTGGTGAAGGCTAATTTTGCTTATTAAATAATTTTTACACATTTCCCTATTTTGTGTCTTTCCTCTCCATTTGACTCTCCTCATTTCTCTGCCTTTTGCTCTTCAGGTGACCACCCCTGAGATGGTGATGCCCAGTAGCATGTTCCTCCCAGCGGCTGTTCCAGATCGAGACGGGAACTCCAATTTGGAGGAGGCAGGAAAGCAGCCTGGTTAGTATTATTATCCTCAACCCCTGGAAATGGAAACAGAAGGAAATCTCAGGCCAAAATTTTCACAGAGTGAGAGTGCCAAGAATCCTGGATAGTACTCCTTAGCTGAGTGTAACTGATCTAGAGATGAGGGGCTGGTTCTTGGCATGTATTTGTATACTATGTATATGGTTTAAAGTGAGAGAAAATCAGGTGAGAACCACTGGGATTTTGATGGACACATATCCCCTTAGACTATACACATCAGAGTGAATAATCAGTGACTCAGTCAGTAGACCCATGACTCACCATCCTAAGCTGTTAAACACTCCCATCTCCAGGGACTTAATTATTAGGGACTTGTGGAGCACGTGGGTGATTTCAGGCCACTGGATTGGTTGTCTTTCTAGAAGCTGCCTGTGCACAAAGTTCTTCTCTGAGTCTTCTGAGATTGCCTTAGGATGCAGTGTAGAGGTGCATTTGGAAAGAACATTGTTATAGACATGGATGCTGCATAGTATAGTAGTGGTGCCCCACGGTGGTTCCTAGCTAGATGGATCATTAGACCCCCATTTATGAGGCTCTTCTACATCTTTGACCTCTTGTCAGCTGCTAAGATTTAAGTTGGGAAGACTTCAGCCATACTACTGCCCTACCTCTTCCCTTGTGATTTTTCCATATTAGGCAGTGGACAGCTGACCTGAAAAAGGGTCAGAATGTTTATGGGTATGATGATCTCAATGTAGAAAAAAATTTTTGTTTATTTTAATAATTGGCCACTTGAATGTTCATTGAATAGAGAATGCTTCTTGAATAGAGATGACAGCCAAAAGTTACATTGTAACAAGAAATTAAATGGCTAAAAAATATATTTCAAAATTTCTTATATTACAATGGACAGCAGTTCTCATAAATTCCCCACAACTTAGGACAGCATTAATTTCACATATTCTGCAATTCAGATCCATGTAAAAAGGGAATCCAATCTAATAAGATCAATAACCTTCAAAACACTTCTTAAGAAATTGAGGATTCTGAGTCAACCAATTAAATATTGTTTAAAAGACAGATCCGTGATATGATACAGGCCTATTATCAGTTGAAACTTTTTGTATGTCCTTTTCTTCCTCTCTGTTCACGTGTGCCTGCTTATAATATGTACTCTGTTGCTGGCAGGTAGGGGTGGAGTTTGTGTTCAGGTTGGGTATTTCCTGCCTCATCAGAGTCTGTGTTTGTGAGACCTTGCAAGGTAGACAGCTCTGGGTGCCATCCTTGAAACAAAGCCTTCTTTATCATTGGGCTTGATGGTTTTTTTTTTTTTTTTACAGAAACCTCAGAGGATCTGGGAAAGAACATCTTGCCCTCTGTGAGCACAGAGCATGGTGGAGATTTAAAACCCTCTCCTGCTGACCCAGGCTCGGTGAGAGAAGACTCAGGCTTCCTATGCTGGAAGAAGGGGTGCAACCAGGTTTTCAAAACTTCTGCCACTCTTCAGACACACTTCAATGAGGTTCATGCCAAGAGGCCTCAGCTGCCTGTGTCAGATCGCCACGTGTACAAGTACCGCTGTAATCAGTGCAGCCTGGCTTTCAAGACCATTGAAAAGCTGCAGCTCCATTCTCAGTACCATGTGATCAGAGCTGCCACCATGTGCTGTCTTTGTCAGCGCAGTTTCCGAACTTTTCAGGCTCTGAAAAAACACCTTGAGACAAGCCACTTGGAGTTGAGTGAGGCCGATATCCAGCAGCTTTATGGTGGCCTTCTGGCCAATGGGGACCTCCTGGCAATGGGAGACCCCACCCTGGCCGAGGATCACACCATAATTGTTGAGGAAGACAAGGAGGAAGAGAGTGACTTGGAAGACAAACAGAGCCCAACAGGCAGTGACTCTGGGTCAGTACAAGAAGACTCAGGCTCAGAGCCGAAGAGAGCTCTACCTTTCAGAAAAGGCCCCAACTTCACCATGGAAAAATTTCTAGACCCTTCTCGCCCTTACAAGTGTACGGTCTGCAAGGAATCTTTCACTCAAAAGAACATCCTGCTAGTGCACTACAATTCTGTCTCCCACCTGCATAAGTTAAAGAGAGCCCTTCAAGAATCGGCAACTGGTCAGCCAGAACCCACCAGCAGCCCAGACAACAAACCGTTCAAGTGTAACACTTGTAACGTGGCTTACAGCCAGAGTTCCACTTTGGAGATCCACATGAGGTCTGTGCTGCATCAAACCAAGGCTCGGGCAGCCAAGCTGGAGGCTGCAAGTGGCAGTAGCAATGGGACTGGGAACAACAGCAGTGTCTCCCTGAGCAACTCCACCCCAAGTCCTGTGAGCACCAGTGGCAGTAATACCTTTACCACCACCAATCCAAGCAGTGCTGGCATCACTCCGAGCTCCAGCTTACTGAGCCAAATGTCCACCGAAAGTGTAGGGATGCCGCCCCTGGGGAATCCCATCAGTGCCAATATTGCTTCCCCTTCAGAGCCCAAAGAGGCCAATCGGAAGAAGCTGGCAGATATGATTGCATCCAGGCAGCAACAGCAGCAGCAGCAACAGCAGCAGCAGCAACAACAAGCACAGACACTGGCCCAGGCCCAAGCTCAAGTTCAAGCTCACTTGCAGCAAGAGCTGCAGCAACAGGCTGCCCTGATCCAGTCTCAGCTATTTAACCCCACCCTCCTGCCTCACTTCCCCATGACCACTGAGACCCTGCTGCAACTGCAGCAGCAGCAGCATCTCCTGTTCCCCTTCTACATCCCCAGTGCTGAGTTCCAGCTCAACCCCGAAGTGAGCTTGCCAGTGACCAGTGGGGCACTGACACTGAGTGGGACAGGTCCAGGCCTGCTGGAAGATCTGAAGGCTCAGGTTCAGATCCCACAGCAGAGCCACCAGCAGATCCTGCAGCAGCAGCAGCAGCAGCAGCAGCAACAACAACAACAAAGCCAGCTCTCTCTGTCCCAGAGTCACTCTGCCCTCCTGCAGCCAAGCCAGCACCCTGAGAAGAAAAACAAATTGGTCATCAAAGAAAAGGAAAAAGAAAGCCAGAGGGAGAAGGACAATGCTGAAGGAGGAGAGGGCAATGTGGGACCAAAGGAATCCCTGCCAGATGCCTTGAAGGCCAAAGAGAAGAAAGAGTTGGCACCAGGGGGTAGTTCTGAGCCTTCCATGCTTCCTCCACGTATTGCCTCGGATGCCAGAGGGAATGCCACCAAGGCCTTGTTGGAGAACTTTGGCTTTGAGCTGGTCATTCAGTACAACGAGAACAAACAGAAGGTGCAGAAGAAGAATGGGAAGACGGAACAGGGAGAGAATCTGGAAAAGCTCGAGTGTGATTCCTGTGGCAAGATGTTTTCCAACATCTTAATTTTAAAGAGTCATCAAGAGCACGTTCATCAAAATTACTTTCCTTTTAAACAGCTGGAGAGGTTTGCCAAACAGTACAGAGAGCACTATGATAAACTGTACCCACTGAGGCCCCAAACCCCAGAGCCACCACCACCTCCCCCTCCACCCCCACCACCCCCACTTCCTGCAGCACCGCCTCAGGCAACTTCCACCCCAGCCATCCCTGCATCAGCTCCACCCATCACTTCACCTACAATTGCACCGGCCCAGCCATCCGTTCCGCTCACGCAGCTCTCCATGCCCATGGAACTGCCCATCTTCTCACCGCTGATGATGCAGACAATGCCGCTGCAGACCTTGCCAGCTCAGCTGCCCCCTCAGCTCGGACCTGTGGAGCCTCTGCCTGCTGACCTGGCCCAGCTGTACCAGCATCAGCTCAATCCAAGCCTGCTCCAGCAGCAGAACAAGAGGCCTCGCACCAGGATCACGGATGACCAGCTCCGAGTCCTGAGGCAGTATTTTGACATTAACAACTCCCCCAGTGAAGAACAGATCAAAGAGATGGCGGACAAGTCTGGGTTGCCTCAGAAAGTGATCAAGCACTGGTTCAGAAACACTCTCTTCAAAGAGCGGCAGCGGAACAAGGACTCCCCTTACAACTTCAGCAATCCTCCTATCACCAGCCTAGAGGAGCTCAAGATTGACTCCCGGCCGCCTTCACCGGAGCCTCAGAAGCAGGAGTACTGGGGAAGCAAGAGGTCTTCAAGAACAAGGTTTACTGACTACCAGCTGAGGGTTCTACAGGACTTCTTTGATGCCAATGCTTACCCAAAGGACGATGAATTTGAGCAACTGTCTAATTTACTGAACCTTCCAACCCGAGTCATAGTGGTGTGGTTTCAAAATGCCCGACAGAAGGCCAGGAAAAACTACGAGAATCAGGGAGAGGGCAAAGATGGAGAGCGGCGTGAACTTACAAATGATAGGTACATTCGAACGAGCAACCTGAACTACCAGTGCAAAAAATGCAACCTGGTGTTTCAGCGTATCTTTGATCTCATCAAGCACCAGAAAAAGCTGTGTTATAAGGATGAGGATGAGGAGGGACAGGATGACAGCCAAAATGAGGATTCCATGGACGCAATGGAAATCCTGACGCCCACCAGCTCCTCCTGCAGTACCCCAATGCCCTCACAGGCTTATAGCGCCCCAGCTCCATCAGCCAGTACAGCTTCTTCGGCTTTCTTGCAGCTTACAGCAGAGGCTGATGAACTGGCCACCTTCAGTTCAAAAATAGAGGCGAGTGATGAGAAACCAAAGCAAGCTGAACCTCCCAGTGCACAGCCAACCCAAACCCAAGAAAAGCAAGGACAACCAAAGGCAGAGCTGCAGCAGCAAGACCAGCCTGAGCAGAAGACAAACACAGCCCAGCAAAAGCTCCCACCACTGACTTCTGCGCCTTCATTACCACAGCCTCCTCCACAAGCGCCCCCACCTCAGTGTCCCTTACCCCAGTCAAGCCCCAGTCCTTCCCAGCTCTCCCACCTGCCCCTCAAGCCCCTCCACACGTCAACTCCTCAACAGTTGGCAAACCTACCTCCTCAGCTAATCCCCTACCAGTGTGACCAGTGTAAGTTGGCATTTCCATCATTTGAGCACTGGCAGGAGCATCAGCAGCTTCACTTCTTGAGTGCGCAGAACCAGTTTATCCACCCCCAGTTTTTGGACAGATCACTTGATATGCCTTTCATGCTGTTTGACCCTAGTAACCCACTCCTGGCAAGTCAGCTGCTCTCTGGGGCCATACCTCAAATTCCAGCAAGCTCGGCCACTTCTCCTTCAACTCCAACCTCCACGATGAACACTCTGAAGAGGAAGCTGGAGGAAAAGGCCAGTGCAAGCCCTGTTGAAAACGATAGCGGGACAGGAGGAGAAGAACCTCAGAGAGACAAGCGTTTGAGGACAACTATTACACCAGAACAGCTAGAAATTCTCTACCAAAAGTATCTATTGGACTCCAATCCCACCCGAAAGATGTTGGATCACATTGCACATGAGGTGGGCTTGAAGAAACGTGTGGTACAAGTCTGGTTTCAGAACACCCGAGCCCGGGAAAGGAAAGGACAGTTCCGGGCTGTGGGCCCAGCCCAGGCCCATAGGAGATGCCCTTTTTGCAGAGCACTCTTCAAAGCCAAGACTGCCCTCGAGGCTCATATCCGGTCCCGTCATTGGCATGAAGCCAAGAGAGCTGGCTACAACCTAACTCTGTCTGCAATGCTCTTAGACTGTGATGGGGGACTTCAGATGAAAGGAGATATTTTTGATGGAACTAGCTTTTCCCACCTACCCCCAAGCAGTAGTGATGGCCAAGGTGTTCCCCTCTCGCCAGTGAGTAAAACCATGGAGTTGTCTCCCAGAACTCTTCTTAGCCCTTCTTCCATCAAGGTGGAAGGGATTGAAGATTTCGAAAGCCCCTCCATGTCCTCAGTTAATCTCAACTTTGACCAAGCTAAGCTGGACAACGACGACTGTTCCTCTGTCAACACAGCCATCACAGATACCACTACTGGCGATGAGGGCAATGCAGATAACGACAGTGCGACGGGCATAGCAACGGAAACCAAATCCTCTTCTGCGCCCAGTGAAGGGTTGACCAAAGCGGCCATGATGGCAATGTCTGAGTATGAAGATCGATTGTCATCTGGTCTGGTCAGCCCAGCCCCAAGCTTTTACAGCAAGGAATATGACAATGAAGGTACAGTGGACTACAGTGAAACCTCAAGCCTTGCAGACCCCTGCTCCCCAAGTCCCGGTGCAAGTGGGTCAGCAGGCAAATCTGGAGACAGCGGGGATCGGCCTGGGCAGAAACGTTTTCGCACTCAAATGACCAATCTGCAGCTTAAGGTCCTCAAGTCATGCTTTAATGACTACAGGACACCCACCATGCTAGAGTGTGAGGTCCTGGGCAATGACATTGGACTGCCAAAGAGAGTTGTTCAGGTCTGGTTCCAGAATGCCCGGGCAAAAGAAAAGAAGTCCAAGCTAAGCATGGCCAAACATTTTGGTATAAACCAAACAAGTTACGAGGGACCCAAAACAGAGTGCACTTTGTGTGGCATCAAGTACAGCGCTCGGCTGTCTGTACGTGACCATATCTTTTCCCAACAGCATATCTCCAAAGTTAAAGACACCATTGGAAGCCAGTTGGACAAGGAGAAAGAATACTTTGACCCAGCCACTGTACGTCAGTTGATGGCTCAACAAGAGTTGGACCGGATTAAAAAGGCCAATGAGGTCCTTGGACTGGCAGCTCAGCAGCAAGGGATGTTTGACAACGCCCCTCTTCAGGCTCTTAACCTTCCTACAGCATATCCCGCGCTCCAGGGCATTCCTCCCGTGTTGCTCCCTGGCCTCAACAGCCCCTCCTTGCCGGGCTTTACTCCATCCAACACAGGTGGGTTCTGTTCTAGGTGATTCTTTCAGCATTAAATAGCTGCCCAGTTAGCACTTGGTTCTGTGGCTACTACCCAAACCCTCTGAGTGTTGGGCACATAGATAAGAAGCTTCCCTTTCTAGTTTTCTAACAGCACCAAAACTTCAGGTCCCTTCTCTTGAGTCTCCCTGGACCTGTGGCGTACAAGGTTCTTTGACTTCCCAGTTCAGGAGTGGGACCTCCTGGTTGCAACAATCTCCTCTGAAACCATTCTCATGCCCTGTGTTCAATAGCACACCCAAGGTGTGTGCTTAAAGGGAAGAATTTGAGGGTCCTGGTATACTATATCCTGGGGTATCTTCAAGAAAGAAGTTTCCATCATAGACCGTTCTATTCAGTTCTTGTGGAAATGCCAATCCCGTCCATATTTCTGTTGTCAATATAAGACATTTGAATATCTTAGCTCATTCTGGATGGTGCCCTAGGGAAACTGATTCAAGAGAATTTAAATCGACTCTGCCCTCACCAGTGGTCCTCACCCCCTTTGTTAGAGAGCTACTCCAGCAGGAGAACTGTTATCAGGAGGAAGCACTCATGGTGGATCCTTACTCCTGGAGTTCCCTTCTAGTCAGAATAACAGTGGCTGTTATAGTTTCTAATGAGATTGCTTTTGTACTTGAATGCACTGACCAGGAATCTTGTATTGGGCAATGTGGTTCTGAATTTTGACATGTTTGTATTAGTCCTCCAGACAGACAAAAAATGTTAATGGTTATTTTTAGAGGTATTCAATCACCCCTCCATTTCCTTTTGCCCATTTCCCTTTCTTCCCTCCTTCCAAACCACTAAAGCAGAGTCATACACTTGGTGTTCTTATTTTTCCACTTAACAGGGAGTTTCGCAGTTCTTCCTGTGTACGTACCTCTCTTTTTCCTCTTCCTCTGTCCTCACCCTTCTCTGGATCCAGCTGTCTTTCCTAAATTGGACCTTTACCTCCAGGGTCTTGTGGGACTTAGGCACAAGTCAGCAAGTTCCCACCATAGGCTGCATTAACGAGTGCACATTCACCAAAGAAGAGCCCCTCAGAGTACCTCTTTGCCTTCAAAACATGGCTCTGTTCCCAGGGCTTGAAGCAGTTCTGCTGCTTCCCAGAGCAGTCCTGGTTTCTGGTTGAATGAAATCCAAGTTTTACAGTTTTGGCAGTGTTTTACAGAACATGAGGCTACCACATTCCTGGTCCAAATTTCTTATTCAAATAGAAGAACAAGAAAAGAAAGCATTAAGATGTAGAAGACGTTGCTTATATGTGTTGGCAAGTAATGGAGGCCAGCTAGACATAAGCCAAGAAAGCAGCTACGGAAAGTGGCTGGGCACTGAATTACCCTTGTTGCCCAAGCCCTTGGCAGAGGGGCTTGGGAAAGCCCAACATTTCATAAGAATGTGAAAAAATTAGAATCAGAATGTCTGATCTATTCCCCTTGTTTTACAGATGAGAAAACTGAGGCCCAGAGAGGTCAAGACCATTCAGCAAGCTAGGGTAGGAGCCAGAGCTCCCACCCAGGCCTCCGGGCTCCCAGTGCTATGTGCTCCTTCCACAGCACCCAATATGAGCCAGTCAGTCAACAGGTATATGTTTAGTGCTACTCAGGTTCTGACCACTTAGAGTGGACTCAAGATAGAAAGATATGCTGTTATTTAAGGCAGCCAGGTGTGTCCCAGTTACCACCACCTGACTGTACCACAGCTCAGAGGAGCACTGGATCTGGAATGGGAGGGAAAGAACTTGTGTTTCATATGTCAGGCTCAATGGTAAGCTCTTTCCGTGTGACCCTTCATTTAATCCTTACAACTATCTGTTGTGGAAAGCTGAGGTTCCAAACAGTCAACTAATGGGCCCAAGGTCACACGGCAGACATGTGTCAGCCCCAATCCATATCACATCAGTCTGAAACCCAGAGGTGTGTGACTGAGTCTCAGGGGGATGAAGTGCCTTGGTTGATTCTCATCTTACAGATGAGAAAACTGAGGCGACAGAATTATTGTGAGAATGTATTAAGCTATTGTATCAAACATGGCTAGTGCAGAGCTTGGTAAATAGCAGGAGTTCAGTAAACATTTCTTACAATTTGAATCTCTTATGTAGACTGTCAGTGCAAGATACAGAAAGTCAGTTTGAGGTCTTCTGGTCTGGATCTTTCTTCTGAAAGCCTGATGCCATAGGGATGGGGAAATCTCTAGATTTCCTTTCTTGCCCCACTGATCTTTGGCTCTGGCTCCAATCTAAAACTTGGTGCAGGTCCAATGCCTAGAGCTGAACAGAAAGAGCCATGTCCCAAGTTTAGAATTCATAATCTGTTCTGTCTCCACCTCATTTGTGCCGATTTAACCAACAAGGCTTTACTGAGTTCTTCTGAGTCAGACACATATTCTCCTCTGGTTTCAGTCCCTTATGTGCGTTGAGGAAATTAGATGACTTAATCTCAGCGCTCCCTTTCTGCTGTTTTGGAAGAGTAAATTAATGATGCTATGCAGTGCTGAGGGAAGCATCCTCGTTGGCTATCCAAATATTAATGGATATTTTCCTGGGATTGGCAACTTGAGACAACCTTGTTCCCTTCATCTGAAATTTGAGGGTTTTTAAATAAGGTGTGATAAACACTGCACCGCTGTAGCCCAAAGTTAACATCTTTACCCAGGTCTAGGCTTCAGAGTAGTTTTTCTCATGAGGACAGTGTCCTGTTATAGAATGCCCTACCCCAGCTTTCTGGCAGACGGTGGTCCAGATGAAATTAGGGGCTGTAGGATTTTTTATTTGACGTTTTCGTGCCCTGTAAAATGAAAGGCTGTACAGTATACTGTCTAGTTTCTTGGGTGTGGTGAATGTAAAGGTGATCCAAGGGCTGCTGCCTGTGAACTCTTCTCAACTCCTGTCTTCTCAGCATGTCATCATCTAGCACATCTGCCCCCTCAACAACGCTGTCCTTCCTCACCACCTTGCTAGTCTTAACGCACCTGCAGCTTGATGTACTAGCAGCAGTAACATCATCTTCCATCACCCTGGAACAAAAAACTCAAACCAGGAGATAGCTATGGGTCAGGGAGGATATTAGGCTTGGGCTGGGTGGAGGCTTTACAGGAAGTGGTGGTTTAGGCCTGAGTGTGATTGAGGATGGGGCTGTACTCCATGTGGGTCTGGTCGTATGGTCAAAGACGTTTGCCGCCCATAAGCAGTAGTGCTTGGAGTAGGTTTCAGTGTCTTAGGAATTGGTAGTGCCAGCACGTTGGGCTGTTCCTTTTCTGACATGCTTTTCTCCTGTTCCATGGCTGGTTTCTCAAGCATTTGCAGCCCCAGACCTCCCATATATCATTCAAACAGGGGCAAGAGGCTAAAATGCTCATTTCTTCAGCAGACTCCAAATCCTATTCCTAGCTAGATACCTGTTTCAATAGATTTGTTAAAGCAGATCAGCTGAGCCAAGGCAGTGGAACAGTTTTCCCTGAATGGACTATTTTTCGTTTCTTCCCATTCCTCCTCCTCTCTCTGCCCTCCTAACACTTCTGTTCAGCTGCATCACTGGAGGCCAGAAAGGCCCACGTGTAGAGCCTGTTATTTGATCACATGCTTCGGGGGCCTGGCCAGGTTTCCTGCTTTTGCTCTCGTCTCCTCTTGCCTCTCTCCTCTAGACAACTTCTGGTAAAACCTCTTGGCTGTACTATTTCTGTGGAGCTTTGATGAAGGCCTTTGGTTCAGATGGGTCCCAGCTGGAAACAGCTAGTTTGGGGGCCTCCAGACTACTTGCCTTGGGTGGAGTGAATGGTATCTGAGAGCACAGCAAAGAAAATATGAACTAGTGGGTGTCGCACATTGGGCGGGAAGGTGTTGGAAGTTGTTTAGCTGAAAGGGGAATTATGGGAGCTGACCCAGGACTGAGTCCTGATTAGAAAACAAGGCCATCCAACCCTGAGCCTGGTGGGATACCTCTGTTGAAAACGTAGTTTTGAGAGGTTGCTTCAAGTTTAAACCTTGAGATCTCAGACTTTGTGCCCGTGGCACAGGTAAAGCGTCTTGAGCTTCAGCTCACCACCCCAGACTGACACATGATTTCTTTATCTGTCTCCATTCCTTTCAGCTTTAACGTCACCTAAACCGAACTTGATGGGTCTGCCCAGCACAACAGTTCCTTCCCCTGGCCTCCCCACATCTGGATTACCAAATAAACCATCCTCAGCATCGCTGAGCTCCCCGACCCCAGCACAAGCCACCATGGGGATGGCCCCTCAGCAACCCCCACAACCCCAGCAGCAGCAGCCACAGGTGCAGCCGCCGCCAGCAGCCCAGCCGCCACCTGCACCACAGCTCCCGCCACAACAGCAGCCACAGCAACGCAAGGACAAAGACAGTGAGAAGGTAAAGGAGAAGGAAAAGGCACACAAAGGGAAAGGGGAACCCCTGTCTGTCCCCAAGAAGGAGAAAGGAGAGGCCCCCACGGCCGCAGCCACGATCTCAGCCCCTCTGCCCACCATGGAGTATGCGGTGGACCCTGCACAGCTGCAGGCCCTGCAGGCAGCCTTGACTTCAGACCCCACAGCGTTGCTCACGAGCCAGTTCCTTCCTTACTTTGTACCAGGCTTCTCTCCTTATTATGCCCCCCAGATCCCTGGCGCCCTGCAGAGCGGGTACCTGCAGCCTATGTATGGCATGGAAGGCCTGTTCCCCTACAGCCCTGCGCTGTCACAGGCCCTGATGGGGCTTTCCCCGGGCTCCCTACTGCAGCAGTACCAGCAATACCAGCAGAGTCTGCAGGAGGCCATCCAGCAGCAGCAGCAGCGGCAACTACAACAGCAGCAGCAGCAGCAGCAAAAAGTGCAGCAGCAGCAGCCCAAAGCAAGCCAAACCCCAGTCCCCCAGGGGGCTGCTTCCCCAGACAAAGACCCTGCCAAAGAATCCCCCAAACCAGAAGAGCAGAAAAACGCACCCCGTGAGGTGTCCCCCCTCCTGCCGAAACCCCCCGAAGAGCCAGAAGCAGAAAGCAAAAGTGCAGACTCCCTCTACGACCCCTTCATTGTTCCAAAGGTGCAGTACAAGTTGGTCTGCCGCAAGTGCCAGGCGGGCTTCAGTGACGAGGAGGCGGCGAGGAGCCACCTGAAGTCCCTCTGCTTCTTCGGCCAGTCTGTGGTGAACCTGCAAGAGATGGTGCTTCACGTCCCCACGGGCGGCGGCGGCAGCGGCGGCGGCAGTGGCGGCGGCGGTGGGAGTGGCGGCGGCTCGTACCACTGCCTGGCGTGCGAGAGCGCGCTGTGTGGGGAGGAAGCTCTGAGTCAACATCTCGAGTCGGCCTTGCACAAACACAGAACAATCACGAGAGCAGCAAGAAACGCCAAAGAGCACCCTAGTTTATTACCTCACTCTGCCTGCTTCCCCGATCCTAGCACCGCATCTACCTCGCAGTCTGCCGCTCACTCAAACGACAGCCCCCCTCCCCCGTCGGCCGCCGCCCCCTCCTCGTCCTCGTCCTCCGCTTCCCCCCACGCCTCCAGGAAGTCTTGGCCGCAAGTGGTCTCCAGGGCTTCAGCCGCGAAGCCCCCTTCTTTTCCTCCTCTCTCCTCATCTTCAACGGTTACCTCAAGTTCATGCAGCACCTCAGGGGTTCAGCCCTCGATGCCAACAGACGACTATTCGGAGGAGTCTGACACGGATCTCAGCCAAAAGTCCGACGGACCGGCGAGCCCGGTGGAGGGTCCCAAAGACCCCAGCTGCCCCAAGGACAGTGGTCTGACCAGTGTAGGAACGGACACCTTCAGATTGTAAGCTTTGAAGATGAACAATACAAACAAATGAATTTAAATAAAAAAAATTAATAACAAACCAATTTCAAAAATAGACTAACTGCAATTCCAAAGCTTCTAACCAAAAAAAAAAAAAAAAAAGGAAAAAAAAAGAAAAAGCGTGGGTTGTTTTCCCATATACCTATCTATGCCGGTGATTTTACATTCTTGTCTTTTCTTTTTTCTTTTAATATATAAAAAAAAAAACCTTAACCCTGTTACATTGTGTCCTTTTGAAGGTACTATTGGTCTGGGAAACAGAAGTCCACAGGGCCTCCCTAATGTCTTTGGAGCTTAAACCCCTTGTATATTTGCCCCTTTTCAATAAATGCCCCAAGTTGATAGCACAGAGGAGCCCGGCATGCACTGTATGGGAAAGCAGTCCACCTTGTTACAGTTTTAAATTTCTTGCTATCTTAGCATTCAGATACCAATGGCTTGCTAAAAGAAAAAAAGAAATGTAATGTCTTTTTATTCTCAGGTCAATCGCTCACACTTTTTTCTGTTTTCAGAATCATTGTTTTATATATATTATTTTTTCGGTTTGTTTTTGTTTTTGTTCCAGAAAAGATTTTTTGTTTTGTTAATTTAAAAACGGGCAGAAAGTATTCGAGAAAAACAATGTGAACTGCTTTAGCTTTCTGGGGATTTTAAGGATAGCTTTTCTGCTGAAGCCAATTTCAAGGGGAAAAGTTAAGCACTCCCACTTTCAGAAAAAAAAAACAAACCCACACACAAAGAGTGTTGAGGACTTGTAGCTTAAAAAAAATAAGTTTTAAAAACTGACTTTCTGTATTTATGATAGATATGACCATTTTTGGTGTTGAGTAGATTGTTGCATTGGAAATGAACTGAAGCAGTATGGTAGATTTAAAAGGAAAAAAAAAACCTTTTGTGTACATTTAGCTTTTTGTATGGTCCAGCTGACAGCTCCTCATTTGATGTTGTCTTGTTCATTCCTAGCAGATAGATTGCAATCCGTTGATTCGCCTAAGCTTTTCTCCCCTTTGTCCCTTAATTCCACTTTCTCTTTCCTTCTCCCACTTCCCATCCTATAATCTCCCACTTAAGGTAGCTGCCTTCATTTCTTAGAGGGTAGCTGCAGAATTATTTTATAAAACTAAAGAAAGAAATTCAAAGGGTCCTAGGGGTCATTAGGATCCTCAAAGATTATTTTTGGTTGGGGAGTTGAAACTTTTTAAAGGCATATAATTCTAGTTACCTATGTCTGTTAGCCTTGTGCATTTATTTTTAATTTATCCTTGGCTTTTCTTTTCACCTCTTCTTTTCCTCCTTTTCCTCCTTGTTCGGTAGATGCTTCAAATATTCTTTTCCTAAACTAAAGCATTTGTTTCGGTTTGTTTAATTGGGCTGTATGCTTTTCTTTTCTAAAAAAGTTTTTGGTTAGGGGTTTGGTGTTGGTTTTTGTTTTGTTTTCTTTCCTCTCTCAGAAAAAGAAATTTCATGCTTTAAATAAAATCCAAAGACACACCCTTTCACTGCTGATGCAGAAAAAAGGGAAAGGGTTCTTGTTACTTGAGAATTTGTTTCTGATTTAAACAAACAAGACTTAGTTTAATAAGAGAAAGAGTAAAACAAAAGATTCCCAGGTTGTTATGTGCTTCTTCTGCAAGCAGAGAGGCAACTGTTAATGACAATTCCATATACCAAAAGACACATTTTTTACTTCAAAGTTTTGTCCTTGTGTTAGGCAGTCTGAGCGGCAAGTGATCCAGAGTGCAGCCAACAAAGAAGCAGATAGCAATGTAAAGAGAGCAAAAAAGGAGCCGTATGTGAGGCACTTGTGTTTATGTTGATATCCGTATTCCTGTAACACACAACACAACGCAACATACACCCTTTCTCATCTTAAAGAACGGTCTGAACTTTGAAAGGAAAACTTTGTGCTGCTAAAACATAGATTTTGGAGACAAATAGATGCTTTGCTGTTTCACTTTCATAGCCAAACATCAACAGAAACAATCTCCCCTGCCCTGAAAGTGTGAAATCCTTCTTCCCTTCGTTCTCTTCCTTATGTTTCAAAAGGGAACTTTGAAGACTGTGAATGCAGGTTCCATTGGTCACCTTTCGGGCTTCTTTCCCCAGTGCTGAAGCCACTCATCGACTTTGCAAAAAGACTGGAGCATTCCAAGATCTGAAAATGGATTTCTTTTTTCTTTTTTCTTTTTCTTTTTTAGCCGGGACTATTTTATTTTTATGAATTTGTTTTTAGTTTAATGAAAGAGTAGATCCTGAACTGTTGTACATATTTCTAACTAGGCTGATGCACAGTGCAAATTCCTTTTTTAATTTTTTTTTAAGTAGAAATACTAAAGAATACCATCTAACTATTCATACCAGTATCCAGTTGTAGCATAAGGTGTCAAAAATAAGTACGCAAAACATTTGCTGTTTTAACAAGCTATTTTCTTTTAACAAGAATTCTTATATTTCTCCCTGTGTTTGAGATGAACATTTTTAAATTTTAAAGTTGTACAGTTTTTTGTTTTCCATTATTTTATCTTGTTTGTAACTCTATGAAATATATATATATTTTTTTGCCATTTAACTGTTGTATGTTACTCCGTGTCTGTATCATATAGAAAAAAATTGGTTTGTTTTGTTTTGTTTTTGCTTCTCTATGTGATACCAATTAACAATTTAACACTAGTTTTATCTGTCAAATTCTGCTAGGTCTTTTCTGAAAACTTTGTTTTTAAAAATGATATTGCTTGGTAATAGTGCAATTTCTATCCCTTTCCCTCCCCCCTCAACTTTAAGTTCATTTCCTTGTAATTAATTTTGCCATCCCCTCCCCAATGGTTTTTTTCTTTTCTTTTTTTTGAGCTACTATGCCGTCCTCCCTCTGTGAGGCAGAGTGACTGTCAGTGTTTTGTTTTGCCATGCCTTGACCTGTGGGTGTGTTTGGCAACAGCAAGGTGGTTGGGTAGATTGTCTAAGCATGCTTCCCCCCACCAGTGTTCCTCAGAGGGGTTATGCGATTGTTTCAACCTGGAGTGGGTTGCACACTTAATGGTTTCCTCTACAGCTCTACAGCCCACATAAATGTTCATTCAAAAAAGAAAAAATGGTTCTCAGCATTAACCCAGAAGTAGCAAAGCAGTCAGTGATTGTGAAAATTTGAGGTCAAACATGAGCTAGTTAGATGTTTGTGGGCTGACATCCACCATGGCTGTGACCCATATCATTTACAAAGCATGAATTCACTGCAATGCTCAACTGTTTAGATTGGTCTCACTTGGAGAATTTACTCCTGTCTGCTGCATACTAGGTAGCTGAAAGGATATTTCAACTCACTTTTTAAAATAGTTCTTCACCTCCATTGACACTTCATATTTTGGTTTGTTTTTTTTTTTCAAATACTCCACAGTGTGGGTTGGTGCTAGACACCATTCAGTCAGAGCACCAAATAGACCCACAGAATGGGAGTTATTTCATCCATCCTTCCAAAAAGACACTTAAGAAGGAAACACACACACACACACACACACACACGGAAAAGTTTAATAAATCTAGGAAGTTTTTTTTTTAATTAAAACTATTTAAAGAGATGAATGTGGCCAAAGTTTTACACAATTGAAAATAAAGTAAAACAGACGGCATGTGTTTAAACCTGAGTTTATCAGGCATGGCAGGAAGTTGCAGGAGAGAGAGGCAGTGACCCAAGCCAGTGCACTTGATGTTCATGGACATATATTTTTTTTAAATAATAAATTAAATTAAAACATTTTAAATAGAAACATAAATTGAGTTGGTTGTTTGTTGGCGCTGAGATACTGCCCACTGTGAAACAAAGCTTTGACTAGTTTTTTTTGTTTGTTTACTTTCTTCGGGAGGGAGGGGGGCAAGTTTGGGTAGGAAAGAAAGCATAAATGAACGTGACCCTGAGGTGAAGAGGTATATGAACAGCCTTTGCAATGTACAAAAAAATAAAAAATAAAAAACAAAAAAAAAATAGAGCAAGTGAAACCAAAAATGATGTTCTTGGTGTTTTTCTATAATGTAGTCTTGTTAGCTTTTTTGTTACTGTAACAATGCTGATCTCGAACTGTACCAAAATACATGGAGACTAACAAACAGAACCACATGGAACTTTCAAACTGAAAAGAAATTTGTCACAAAAACTTTGTTGTCATAGTTAAGTTGATTGTAGATGGTAATTGAATATACTCCTTTGAAAATATTTCATCAAGTATGTTTCCTGCTCATTGTGATACATTAAAAAAAAATATGAGCAAAAGCTCTTGTCTGTCACTAGATTTTGTGGCTGTGCATGTGTGAGAGAGAAGGAGCTTGATGACTGGTGAAGTGTAAATCTGAACAGCATCTTGAGGTTGCGTGAGCAAGGATACTCATTCCAAGGTACACAAGCTCTTTATTTCTAAGTGTCCTCGTATTTCCCATCAACTGGCACTCATCAAAGTGCAGGAAGTTGTGGCCATGATGCTGACCAGCTTATTTCATTGAGAAGGGTAAGCCTGACAGCTCGGATGATAATTGACCCCTGAGAGCCCTAATGGCACCTATATTTTTAATTTAAATGTTTTTATAAGAATTTTAGACACTTGGCACAAAGAAGTTTGCTGATGGCCAGGAGAGAGGTAAGTTCAACTTCTCTGAAATGGGAATTAGATCCAGTGTTTGTGACAGAAGGATATGAAAGGTAAGTTGAATTAAGTGGGTGATTGACTACATTTACCTTTCCTAGCAAAGGACTTTTGTCAACCCCTGTTAGTGCAGAATTTGAGATAAGAATAGTCTGCAAAAATAGTAACAGCATTAGTAAGTCCTACATACAAGAGAGAATACTCAGTCCTCTTATCAAAAACCTTCCGTTACAGCAGAAAATGCCTGAAACTCATTAATAAAGAGTATTTCCCAGATTGGGCCCAAAGGCCTTCCATTCATCTCTAATTTATAGCCACAGCTGATAAATAATTTACAGAACTCTAGCAGCTGGGCTTGGATGGCATTGCAGGCTAGCTGTGTCCTTGCAAGGTCTGCAGCATCTGCCCCTGGCCAACAGGGGTCTTCTCTACCCCAGGAGTTAAGCTATAAAACCCTCTTCTATTGGCTCGGCCATTGTCAACCAAGTCTTTTTTTTCTTAGTTCCTGCAGCAGGCATTCAAGAAGAAGCAGTGACCCTATTAACTCAAAATTTCAATGAATTCTACAACTGACACAGGCATTACTAGTGCTCAGAAAGGAAAAGTTGGTTGTCCTGCCAGTGCTGGAAACTCTATGCCAAACAAGTGTCACCGTCCCTAATGAAACCCTGATCTTTCCCCGGGCATCATACCTTTCTTTTGGGTGTTCCTACAGAAGCACATGGCTTCTATCTTGGTATGTTTTCTTGGCACAGTTTCTTGACAGTTATGAAACTGATGTTTCTTCCAACCCCATGAAAGGTACAGTATGATAAAAACTGTTCAGACCCAAAGCCGTGTCTGCCTTTGTGAGCTATAATTATTTTAGGATCTGGCAGGATCACACTGAAACGTTTTAAATGGAACTAGTTTTGCAGAGAGGTTTTGCTGCCTCAGCTCTTTGGAGGAAGGTGACTACAATTCAAATTCTTCTAAAGATAAATTTTTAAGAAAATAAGACAAAAGCTCAGTGATGGTTGAGCCCTTTGTATCAGAAAATCTCTAAGCAGCTAAGTTACATTGAGAGGGTTGGATAAGGGACTCTGTTACTAGAAACGCTTTTTAAGGGAGAAGAAGTCTTCCAATCTGGCTTCAATATCATGCTCATGTGGATATTAATATCCTTGGAATTAATAGCTTTCCCCCCTGGAAAATGTGAAACGGCAACATCTTAAAATGGCCGATATGTGTTAGTCAGGTAGCTGTTTCTAATTTTGCTTTAAAGAAGTGTCTGTAGTGCCTAGCTCCTGTTATAGACTAATGACCTTCCAAATATCACTTTTAACAAGTTTAGACTTTAAGTTACAAGAGCACAAAGCAGCGCAAGAGTCAAGTTGAAGGATGAGAAGTTTGCACCTGCTGCTCTGCTCTGCACCCTTAATTATATCAGGACAGATGTGCTTGCTCAGTCTCTGTACATTACTGCTGGCGGTGGATCTGCCAAGGCTCTGGCAAAACTTGCAAAGGAATTAGTGCTCTCAGGGCCATAAAGTAGAGGCAGCTTTCTATTTTTACTTCATAGCAAAGGTAGGTATTTCCTTTCCTTTCCTTTCGTTCCCTTCCCTTCCCTTTTCCCTTTCCTTTCCTTTTCTTCCTTTCCTTTCTTTCCTTCCTTCCCTTCCTTCCTTTCCTTTCTTTCCTTCCTTCCCTTCCTTCCTTCCTTCCTTCCTTCCCCCCCCCAAGTAGAGGCATATGTTTTTAAGATGTCTTAGCCAGTTACTTTAGATTCCTCTCTATCTTCTTGAGTTTTTAAATTATAGTTGCAAAACTAAGTTTGTTCTTGATCCTTTGTGACTACTTCATTCTTATCCTATGTGGAACACAGAGACTATTTAACCCAACTTATGAATCCCTTATTAACAGGGGAATGAAAACTTTCAGATGAACTATTTTACTCTTGGGCCAAGATCCCTTGGCCTGAGAAATGAGTGCTAAGTAACAACTAAGAATAGCAAGAGAGAAAGGCATCAGTAGATATTCTCTGCCTCTGTGATACCAAAAGCTTCCTGTTGACACTCACTTTCCTTGCCTTCCTATCTCAATACACTACTCTTCCCTAAGCCCCGCTATGCATTGCTGCTGTCTTTTAGAATTCCTTATAACACCTTATTTTTAATAACACCTTACTTTTGCATGAGACTTGACAATATTTTCTAAAATTACTGCTTGGTTGTTCCTCAAAATGATCTATAAGGTAAGCAAAGTGGGTGACATTTATCCCAGGCGTTCAGGATAGTAAGGTAACGAGTAAGGGGTGAATCATGTGTTTAGCCTTTGTCCAGGGCTCCTTCCCCCCACTATCTCCCGAGGGACACTAAAGAGCAGTTGAGAGTGTGGACTCAGGAGTCAGACAGGGTTCAAATTCTGACTCCACCACTGTGACCTTGATTGTGTTACATATTCCCACTGTAACGTGAGGATAATGGGATCTACTTCATAGAGTTGCTGTGAAGATTACATAAGTTAAAATATGTAAAATGTTTTGAACACTACCTGGTACATACTAAGTGCTAAATATCTGTTGCTACAATTATTGTCAGTATTAACTCTCCACTTTTTCACTGTAGGTCCCTTGGGATTGTGGCTTTCTGACTCTCTTTACTTTACAGAGCATCCCAGAACTGCAGTAGTATAAATCAGTCCTATCAAGCCTTTGCCATACGTTTATATCTGATGCTTTCCTGTCTTGTACGTATCTTGGAGGATCCAGAGGTCCTTCAGGGAGCTTCTGCTCATGAGTCATACAGGAGTCTAGTGCAGGAGTTTACATTTCAGTCTTTCAATGCCTAACATCGAGTGATTAATTTGGTCAGAGGGAAGGATGACTTGTAGCTTGCCTTGTTTGCAAGACTAGACATATCCCTGCTTCACTGTGCCTTGATGAGAGAGCAGCTTAAATTTCTGCATTACAGAATAGAGAAAATGGAGTGGGTGGTAACAATTTGCCCACTGCCACTTCCTGTTTGAGCTGGTTCAGATACACAGGTTGGGAGGTGTAGCATCTAAAATGAGACTGTAAGAGTGAATGAATTGTACATGAAACAAAACTGAAGAGGAATACACATGAAGGAGTGCAGCAAGAGGTCTTTCTACCCCAAAACACCGAGTTTTAAAAAATACTATTATTCCAGTAACCTGCAAAATAAACATCTGGAAGAGGTGTGGGGAAGAGTGAGTAAAAACTAAGTTAAACACAGAGAAAAGGTTCAAGTAGAGTGTTTCCATGATAGCCTCTGCATCTGAGAACTCATCGGTGACAAAGGCTTTAGAAGCCTCTGGCTTTGTGAACTTTCTCCATTTTTGATCAGAATCAAAGAGGGTATTAGAAACAAGGTTGCTGATGTGGATATGAGAGGGCTAGTAAAGGCTATGGAGGATGGCTGGTGGGTTATTTTTTCCTTTTCTCTGAGGATAATAAGCTAGAAATGTGGCTTTGGCCTATTGCCTATAGATAGGATATCATGATACAGTGTCTGCACTGGGTTTCTTTGTTATACGGGTCTAAATTTAACATTGAATAGTTTTCAAAGTCTGATCTGTACTCAGCTGAATTTGTTTCTTTCAATACTGTAAAGATGTTGCTCTATTATTGCCTCATTTGAATTGTTTCCAATAAGAAATCTGCTGTCATCCTTATTTTTTAATGTATTTTTTTCTCTAGTTGCTTTTAAGATTTTTTTCTTTATCACTAGTTTTATCACATCATGTTTTGATTATGATGTGCCTTGGTGTAGTTTTATTTATGTTTCTTGTGCTTGGAGTTTGTTGAGCTTCTTGGATCTGTGGGGTATTACTTTTCATCAAAATTTCTTCAAATATATTTTTTCTCTTCCCTCCCCCAACCACAGGGACTCCATTTATATGTATTAGGCCATTTGAAGTTAACCCATAGCTTAGTGATGCTCCGTTTTTATGGGTTTTTTAGGGGTTGGGGCGGTTACTCTTTTTTCTGTGTGTTTCATTTTTGGTAGTTTCCAGTGCTATGTTCTTCAAGGCCACTCATCTTTTCTTCTGATTTACAATTAATCCCATCCAGTGTATTTTTTCATATCAGACATTATAGTTTTTATCTCTAGAAGTTTGATTTGGGTCTTTTTTTATATCTTTCATATCTCTACTTAACTTTTGAACATATAAAAATACAGTTATGATAATCACTTCAATGTCATCCTCTGCTAATCCTAACATCTATGTAAGTTCTGAGTCTGTTTCAGAAGATTGATTATTCTCCTCATTGTGAGTTGTGTTTTCCTGCCTCTTTGCATGTCTGGTAATCTTTGATTGGATGCTAGTCATTGTGAATTTCACCTTGTTAGGTTTTGGATATTTTTGTATTCCTATAAATTTCCAGTTTGTTCTGGGATGCACTTAAGTAACTTGGAAACAGTTTTATCCCTTTGGGTCTTGTTTTTAAGTTTTGTTGAGCCGGATCAGAATGCTATTTAGTCAAGAGCTAATTATTCCCTAGTACTGAGAACCCCTGTGAGACCCTTCTGAGAATTCTACTCAAATGTTCCACAAACTGTTCCTCACCCTGTGTGAGCATCAGGTGCTGTACCCTCTTATCCTTTGGGCTGGTTCTTTCCCAGCCTCA